CATTGTTTTCACGTTTGACTTCACTTGTGCTTTTTTGGGTCGTGGGGATGTGGCAGTTTTCCGTCAGCCAGATTGCTGTTTCGTTTCGGGGTCATAGGCGTAGCACCAAGATTCATCTCCGGTTATGACTTTCGAAAAAAAATCAAAATCGGCCTCTAACTGCTCCTTCAAAGCACAGCACACAGTCAAGCGATTGTCTCTTTGTTCAGGCATGAGCAAGTGAGGCACAAATCACCCATCACAAAATAGGCAAACACCTTGAAAGAGTCTCTAAAAAAAAAACTCACTGAAGCCGAACGCAGCCTCTCACAACAATCCAGCTGGTACCCTGATGCAGGTGGGTTCCTAGAACACTCACCTAGCAGAGGAAGCCCATACTACAAGGGACCCACCCTCCAGAAGATAATTCTGGGTTTTTTTGGATCCCCCCTCGTACATACATACGTACATATACATATACACACACACACACACATACATAAACCCTGCCCAATAAAATGTGGAGCCAGCTATGCTAAATTTGGCTAAATAGCAAATCTACTTCTATGCAGAAAGATCCCCTTCCAGTATCAGAATCACCATCTTCTTCTCCCAACCAGATGGCAATAGCCAGGTGGCATCTGGAATGAGAAAGTGTTTCCACTGCTTAGTTCCACCTCAAAAATACATAGACATCTTGCTTAGCAAAGGCCCTGAGAGAGAAGCCCAAATATATGGCAGCAGGAATGGCTGCAGATATCTCCATAGGTGCTTTCCCCAGCACCACAGCTGTCATGGCAGAAATGGGTTTTGGTTTTTATGAGAAGGCTGCTGCTCCTTCTGTCTAGTTCTGGGGGTCATCTGGCGCCTCCTTAGACATGGTTGAAAATCCTGCACCAGAAATGGTTTTGAAGTTGACTGGCTCCTAAATTATTGCAGGTCTACCTGGTTTTGTTAACATAAAGAACACTGAAGAGGCAGCTAGGCATGGCCTCACAAAGCACATCTGCAAATGGTCAGAGAACTTCAATTTTAAATTTGTACACAGGGGAGTTTATGATACAGAAACTGAAGGGGACAGACATGTGACTAAGTACCTGCAAACCTGGCACTGGAAAGAAATAGAGGGATTGGCCTATCATGAGAGCCTAAAGGACCACATTATATAAATGGTTATTATATATGTGCTGGAGATATCCAAAGAGATGGGAAATAGTGATCAAGAGCCAGAGTCTTCTGAGCCTCTTTATTGCCATCTGGTGGTTGTCCAGATTTTGAGCCCATATATAGCAACTCTTACGGATACCCCGTATATATGAAACTCCACAAAATCCCCATAGATGTCAAACTAATCATATTTCACATTTTGTGTTCAATGCACCACAGCAAAGGACTTTAGCAACCATTTCATATGCTCAGAATTGAACAGTGTTAAGAGTCTTATCCCTTGCATTTATAAATGTTTAAAATATTAATTAGTATCTCAATGAGCTTCCTGAAATAATCTATTTGAACTGATAATGGAATAATTGAACAGAAGCTAGAATATTATGGCCAGAACAGTTATCCTCAGCCAACTATTATTAACAAATAATTGTTTGGATTACTAAATGAAGCAAGGCAAAATAAATTAGAAATAACGAGGCTACAAGGGAAGAACTTCTGAAACATGTATCACTATCATGTAATTTAATATGTGTATATATTGAATAAATTAAATGAAATCTTCCATTTGATGAGGAAGGGACCACTTGATACTACCAGGCAAGTTTCTCCATAACCAGAGTGTCACCACAGAAAATCTCTCTTCTTAGTGGCCATGTACCCAATTTCATTTATATAAATATCAAGGGTGCCCCTCCAGTCAGTCTACTTACTTAATTTCACAAGTAATAGAACTTGGAAACATATACGTGTGAAGTAATTTGGAACGCTGTTATAGCACAAGCAAGCTGATTGGTTATCCAGGACTGTTTCCAGGTGATATGGGATACATTCAACTTACCAAAGCACCACTGCTGAGGAGGATCATGAAGACAATGAAGGTTTCAAACCAATTGTGTTCCACTATCTTAAAGCAAGTTTTGCGAAGGTTCCACCAACATTTGCCCTTCCCAGAATCTATATTGACCTGACAACATTTGAATCTCCGTACACAACCTAGAAACCAGAATATTTGCATTAAACAAACAAACTTAACAGTCCTAAAAAATAACAATTATCTATGATAAAACAAAGCCTTTATAGAAACCCCAAGCTGCAGTTTGGATCCAGAAGTAATGCACATGGAAAGTGTGTTCCTGTTAACTGACAGGACTCCAACTCAGGAATAAATGTATGGCATGTATTTTCACAAATAACAGTGTGAAGGCTGAAGCTGGCAAGGCCAGAAGCCTGAGACTAGACAAGATGGTTACCAAAACATAGTGCAGGTGCCTTCCACATCCATGGCTAAGAAATGAGCAACGAGAAGTTCATTACTATGTAAGGGAGGGAGAGATGTAAGATTTAAGCTTTGGGGTTGTAAACAGAGAGCTTGACTCTGCAGCAGCTAGACTCTTCATTATTAGGGCTTCTTATGTCCGCAATAAAAGCAATCTAAGCCCCACCCTTGACCCTTGTGCTTTTAGCTTCTAGAAACATGCCCTGGGTGAACAATTAAGGGCAGTGGCTTATTCAAACATAGCAAGAACCTTGCCTTCCTGCTATTTTATTCAATGGCTATAAACTTTCACCTTCCCATCTCTTTCAGTTTTAATAGGAGGAGGAGAGCGTGAGTCTGAGGTTCAGTGTAAGATCTGCCAAAGGGAGACCACAGTATCTGCATGACCTGGGGGAGATAAACCTAGGATTTCTGGAAAGCATTTGGAGGATTCTTGTGGTTGAGAAGCCAGAGGAAAGATCCATAAATAAGCCTGAAACAAACCATGGATTTTCTTAAAACAAATTGCGGATGGCTGGTTTGCAGCTGAGTCCTTTGGGAGATGGGGGCATCTGAGAAAACCAGATATTACATCAGCCCCGGACTTCCATTATGAATGACCACCTGGACCTCATCAGATTATTTGTAAGTTGCCTGGTGCTTTCACTTTAAGAGAAAACCCTCCTCACTCTTACTGTCATTGTTACTACTACCTCTTCAGAGTTTGGGTATTTCTTTCTTATCCAGTTTAAAGGGACAGTCACAAAGACGCAACTAAATATATTTCTAAGGCAGCCTTTTGTACTTTTTCTACTTTTTTCCCCCACCGACTAAAACACCTCTACAATCTTTTTCCATCCTGCTTAATTACATGAAGAAAATGAGTCCACAGGAAGCTTCTTTCTTTGCAGTCTAAAAGCAGCAAGTTACTATCCATGTTCTGGCAAGTGAGAAACTCTCTGAGGTAAAGTCTACAACCTAATTCTCATTTTCTAATTCCAAAAATTACTGTCAGTCACATTACAAGTGGGCTTGAAGTTTCACAGTCTTTTCTAAACTTGCATTTTTTTTTCTTCAGAGGCCAAGAAATTGATTCCATAATAACATATGACCTAAAGGTTACTAGCCAGAAAAGATAAATCATGGCACAGCAGTAGAAAGACAGATATCGATTGTTTTTTGATAAACAATTTATCAATTGTTGATATATCAGAATTCCTGGTGGTATCATATAGATTAACAAAGTACATTCTGGGCGAAAGCAAGGGCTGAAAAGGCAGTAATTTGCAAACCTGCCAAAATAAATCCAGTGTTATTCTACACACAATCACCACAATAAAGTTGGTACATACCTTCGGTAAAACAAGACTTTGGTTGTGGTGGGCCTTTTGCTACAGCATCAGTTTCTTCCTCTCCAACACTTGCCAAAATAATTGTGCTACCTTCAGTGGAGCTGGAAAGGCTTGATTTCTGCAAATAAAATCCCACACGGCATTTTAAAGAAAATAATACTTATTCTGAATAGAAGCAAATTATGCATGCAATTGTGATATTTTTCAGGGATAAGTGGATTTCAAACTTAAGGAGACCTACTTTGTTCACTAGAGGTCCTAATATGAGTCAAGAAGAGCCAAATGCAAAATAATGAATCAGGCAAGCAGCCATATGCTAAGAATTAGTACTGTGTAAATTTCAGAAAATTGTGAATGGGATTATACCCAAGCTCCTCAGGCCTTCCACATAGAAAGCTACACTGGGATTCCCTTCAAAGATTCCTTTCCAGTAACCTAACTGAGGAAAATGAAGTAAGAAATGTTTAGTTACAAGTAGTCCTTATTTAGCGACCACAATTGGACCGATGACTCAGTTGTTAAACAAAGCGGTCATTAAGTGAAACTGCAACAGTGCTTACAATCTTACTTCAGCTTTCTTTTGTTTTACAGACCTGCGAAGGTCATAAATGTGAAGACTGGTCATAAGGTTACTTTTTCATCTCCATTGTAACTGTGAATGGTCATTAAATGAGGCAGTCACTAAATGAGGCAGTCACTAAATATTTCAATTGAACAATTAAAGCTCAGAAAGAAATTCTTGGTGACCTATTGAAAAGTATCCAGATATCTAACAGTAGGTCTCAAGTCACCTTCTGCCTACCCATGATATATCCTGTGTGATAATAGTTTTCCAGGGGAAAAATACCTAGGAACATATATATTTGCTCATATACATTACTTTTTATAGCTCAGCATTTTGCATCAATACTTTTACATGATACTTAACATTTTCCTGTTTTTTTTCATGAAGATGGTAAGAAACCTAAAAAAAAGTGTTGGTGTCAATCTGGAGAAAGTTATGTTATAGCCATCAGTAAATATTCCATTCTTCTGCTACTCTGTCAGTCACAATTCCTTTTCAAAAACAGTTTTGTCTCAGTCAATGGTTTGGATTTACATTCAGCTCTTCCTGATATATACCGTATTTTATATCTGCTGAAGCCTCCCCCTATCCAAGCTGCTCCTAAGAACTGATGGACCTTTCAGTTTAATATACGACACAGTGCAGAAACCTGAGCAAAGTTGGTGATAAAAATGAGATGTCCTGCCTACTATATGTGCACTTACATATTGTAATGCTGCTTCTCATCACTGAAATGTTCTGAAGTGAAATTCAGCTGAGTTAGGAAAAACACAGTGCTAAAATACTGAACAAGGATCACAGATGATAAATTGTTTTTCTCAATACAGCCAAGCCAACATAAAGCTAGTTTCTGAAATTTCTACAGTGAAAGAAGCAAATTTCATTCCAACAGCCTTTGTTTTGCATTCTTTCTTGCTGAAGCACATATGTGTTGATTTCTGCACATTTTAAAACTATTTGTTATTTTGGTACATATACAGATCCTTGTGGATATCCAGAATGTGACTGGGAAAAATAAAATCAAATTTTGATTATACTGATTTGATGTCTACTGATCTTGAAAACATGATCATATATGTAATGTGATTTAATGCACTGTTCTGGGCAAGGCCAGAACTGATATAAACTGGATAAACAATAGACATATATGAGTTTCCAAAATAAAGCAAGTAGTTTTGGTAATGGCATTTTCCAATCTGTTGTAATGTTATTACCGTAGAGTATAACATCAGAAATGAGATCAGCGCTACATAGCTGGATGAATGTAAGGAATGATGAAAGCATATTTAAAACAATATAGGATCACTCACACCACTATTGCTGCAATCCAATTTCCTTTTTTTAAATTTGAAAGATACAGATCTAATCCTTTAAAATAAAAATACATTTATAAATAAATATTTTGTTTTTCATTCAGTTCCCTCTTTTTTAAAGGAAGTCCACAAGTGCAAAATGAATGAAAAGCGAAGTATTTATTTATAACATATGGCTGTTTATCTGCCACAGCATCACTGGGTTGCATTATCCAACCCATGCATTCATATTTCACAAGGAAAGGAAAGCCACTGTACCATCTTGCTACATTCTCTTCCTTGAACCTGTCTTTCTACATTACCTGGGTGAAACAAACCACAGACTAGATGTCAAAATCCTCTGTCTGCACTCTTCTAATGAGAACCACTGGAGTTTTAACTTCTATTGCACAATGCTGGCAAGGCTGCAGAAGCCTTGGGTTCTCTGAACTCTTGCCAACACTTGTCCTGATCACTGATGGCCAGGACAAATGGTGTCATAGGAACACTTTCTCCCATCTTGGTTGGGGAGGAATGCTATGAGAAATCTCCCAACACTTGGAGAAAGGCTCAGTTGGTTATCTGAACAAGGCAAAAGGAACTATGGTGCTGTTAATTCCAAAAGCCAAAAGGGGTGCTTGTGGATGGAAGTGGGGAGACAATGGGGAGGCCAGCTTGGTCATCACCACCAGTTTTTTCCTGAATGATTCATTACAACAATCCCTCCTCTGCAGCTAGACAGGAATACATATTATTTAATACTTTCTGAGGAAACCGTACTGCTTTTCCCTTCAGATGAACAAAGAGCTGAAAAACTGCAAGATAAACTGCCAGAGGCACAACACTTGTATTCAGTTCCTTGCCTGTTACACAAATGATTTACCTGCATGGTTACTGAGAGAACAGGCAATATAAGGATTGTGAAGCACTCACAATAAGGATTATGTCTACGTTAAAAATAATCATATATCACATTCCTGGTTATTCTGGACTGAACTATAATTATGTTTTTGCTTTCATCATTCTAGTGTGGACATTTTTCTTACCAAATGCAGTAACAATGACTGGACATATTCATTCTGAACTGGATTATAAAACAAAGGTAATAGAAAACTTTTAAGTATGTAGATAAATTCAGATTATTTTTAATTATTGTATAATAAATAGCTATCCCCACCTTCTCCTTTGTCCTTCATCCTTAGTCACCTTTCTCAGTTCTTTGGCAGAACTTTTGAGAAGAGCTCTGAATCTGCATGTGTGGATAGCGGTGGTGGTAGTCCTGTACCTATGTCCCTACTTCATCCACAGAAAGTTCAGAGAATACACATCCACTAAGACATGGCCTTAGATCTGTTGGATCCTTTTATTACCTTGAGAGGCCAGATGGGAGTGTGGTGTAGAGGAAGTGTGATATAATGTTTAAGGTATTGCTGGACCAGGAGTGGGGAGACTCAGATTGAATCCCATCCTTTGCCACAGAGGCTTATTGGGGCCAATCCATCTTTCTCACCTTTCGTACCTACTTCACAAGGTTTATCCTTTGGGGAAAAATGGTAGGAAGGAGCCCTATGCCTTGAGCCCCTGAATGAAAAGTGGGATACAAATCTAATAAATAAACAGATAGTCTTTGTGCGTGTGTGTGTGTGTGAGAGAGAGAGAGGGAGAGAGGGAGAGAGAATGAAAACTTTGGAACAGAAAAGCAACACTTTCTGCCTTGTTTGGATTGGCAAGATGTGGCTACTTGTGACCAGGCACATACTTTTTGGGACAAGGCCAAACGTCAATAATAAAACCACATCAGGGACTTAAAACTGTTTTGGTGCCACAGAGTTTCAGACTGATGAAACTCTCATTTCCCCCTTCCCCTTTTCAACCTTTCCCACCCCAGCCTCTTCTTTCCCCTTCGCATGATATTCTTCCCCCGCCTTAACATTCACTGGGTCAGCTCCTCCCTAGGCCCTGCCTTTCTCCCTTTAAATTGTGTATGGTACCCTGCACATTACATCTTGGGGCCTTCCATCCCTGGGTCAGACATTCAAGAGATTTGTGGTAGACTATGGCAGCTTATATCACCCCCAGCAGGTCATCAATTATAATAATTTCCCTGCTCAGTGGAGAAAGAAAGCCATGGCTGCAAGCTTGCCAGGAGCCAGGCCACTTCTTGTTGTGGGGAGTAGTAACAGTGAGGTACTGTGGCTCTGTTTCTTGAACCACAGCAATCTGAGAATCCAATTTCTCAACATGAAAATACTATGAAATGGAGTTAACTGTTAGCTACTGTTAGCATTGATGCCAATGTAGAGCTTGTTATGCTACAGGGTTAAGGCCAGCAAAAAGAGGCAAAGAGCTAGAGGAGAAGGAAGAAATCCATGGTTCCACAAGAAATGTGAAAACTTATTCTCCATCTTTTGCACAAGTTTCTTGCTGTAGCAGAAAAACTAAGGGAAGCACAAAGGCAGGGGGTTGGGGACTGTGGAGAAGCCGGGAGCGCAAGGAGAAAGGAAAGCGTGGGGAAAGTGAAAGGGAGGGCTGCACTGATGGTAGAAAAAATAGATGTGCAGGACGTAGTGCCTCTGTGACACTATAAAATTTGCCAGCAGAAGCTGGGGGGCTATCTGAGGCTACGCCTACAGATTATCAGTTATGCACCCATGATTCTAATTAAATTTAGAGAATTCACATCTTCTTTCTCTCTTGGTATAAAAACACTCAAGTTATGATTCAAGATGGAATTACCTCATGTACATTTCAGGGTGGATTTTCCTACTAGTAGTTATAGTTATAGTTATAGTTAGTGATAGTTATAGAAAAACCTGTTCTAATTGTTTTCTCAGAAGAAAGTAGGGCACAGTCGCCTATATATGTAGCGATCAAGTTCTAAATTTAACACTTTGAGTGGTTTAAGGACAAAATCTTTTAACTAATTCATACCATCAAAATCTATATATAATCTATTGTTTTCTACCCTAAGGCTAAACAAAAAATCATTATAACTAAGGCTGGATTTCTATTTTATATTTGCTGCCCTTAAAACCCCACTGAACATACTAGAAAACTAAATATCACATTATAATTGTAACATTATCATATTCAATTGGGTTATGTTCAGTGGTTTACTTCCTATGCAGAAAACCATTGGACAAAATCAATTTTTTTTCAATGATTTTCTTAAAATCACAATTTCTATTAAACCCGACGCCTCAAAAATTTATAATCCAAGATAAAGTGGATCCATAGATCATGCATTAAAATGTTATGTAACATTAGTCAGACATGGTGAATATTGGGCATTGATCATGCTGTAATGTGAGTCACATGACTCAAATACTAGATCAATTTGTACATGTTTCTACTGATTTGCAATGGATGAAGGTGGCAGATACTGTTAACTGATTAGCATGCATGCCAGTCAAGTTTTATTCAACAGTGAACATGTAGATTTGCTAAGACAACCTGTTCAAAAGAGGTGACACATGATGATCTGCCTTGTTTAAAAGCACCAGAGGTGCACTCTTGATTGATCCTGCTTGATCTTAGTCCTGTGAGAAGTAAGAATGATAGGAAAAGGGTTGAAGACACAAATAATTTGTTCGTTTCTGTTTCAGTAAATGTGATGAACATGGCTTCAAATGTTTCTACTACAATATTCACACCAAAAAACACCCTGTGAAGACTAGGGCAAACATAGAAAGTGGGTGAAACTCAATTAAAAAAAACCAAAACACATTAGGAATACTGGCTGCTGTGGAAACCTCCATAGACCAGTCCTGCAACCTCCTAAAAATATCAGTTAATCCAGAACAAGTTGATTCTAAATAGGTGAATTTGTGCATTACACTTTTCAACAGGGTGGAAGTTTTTCTTTTGAAAAACTGGTAGGATAGGAAAAAAGAAAGTCAGCTAGGGTCTATATCTGCAGTTCCCAAACTGTGCTGCAGCACCCCAGGGTACCCCATTGAACTCACAGGGACACTGTGTGATATTTACTACTTAATAAAATTGTTAGTGGGTTTATTGTGGCACTCCTGGGTGCTCCGGCGCATAGGGGGATATGAACCAAGGAAGTTTGGGAATCTCTGGTCTATACCATTTTTCACCTGCCATAATTAGGATCTTCCCCTTCATCACAATGAATTTCTATTAAAAAGAAAAAAGAAGGACCACACTAGTAAGCAAGCTGGATTCTGCTTTAAGCTTAACACGACTAATGTGACTGTTCCCATTATTCCCTCTTTTTTTCCTACTTTTCTTCTGTCAATTTTTAACTTTCCACAGACACTGAATCTCCCCCATTCCTGTTTTTAATTTAAAAACTGTGATACTACTCTGATTCAATGGGCTTCCAATCAAAACAAAAAGGTACTTGTTCTAGATTAGAAGGACTACAAGTTACCAGTAAAGCATATGTGATACATGCAGTAGATCCTAGGTTCAGTTGTTGACCTCTCCACTCCAAAAAGATTCAAGTAGCAGAAAACTCTCTCTTTCTGCCTGAGTTACTGGTTGGAGTTAGAAGGGGGCATCATTTTGGCTTAATATGATGTGTCTTAGTATAATATGAAAATGGAATCACAGTGATCTGGGTTATACATGCATCATATTATGTATGTATAACCCTGTGATTATAATTTAATCAGAGTTTAATGTTATATTCACACCCCAAATTACAGTTAATCAATTACAATAAGAAAAAGCAATAACCTGCATAAAATATACTCTGAAGCTGAATTGTTTCCACTAATCTAGTAAAGTCTAAGTAAAGTTTGGCTACATTTCTCCAAAGGAATAGTCAAAACTTCTGAACTTGCAGTAAAACAAATGTAAAATTGTTAGTCCATTGTTCTCTTCTGCCCTACTCCCTGTCCACCCTCTCATAATCATGTTGCTATCAAGTGAGCTTTGTGGACTGAAAGTGGTTCAGCAGGAGTGGATAACGTACAGCGCTAGAACTTCAAGTGGCACTTGACCTAATTTGAAAACAAATTCTGCTTGTTAACAGACTTCTGTCAAGAACAAAGTAGCCCTCCTTTAGCAGCACATTGCTAAAATAAAATTATTTATTTTATTGGTTAAATAAAAAGAAAGGAGGTGGCAGAAAGAGAGAGAAAAAGGGAACTGAGTTGTTGGTTCCAACCACACCTAGCCTCATCTCCTACACAATGTTTTCCAACAGCTTATGCACGATGAAGATTCCTCTCTACTTTGGGGACAGAATCTGACCTGTAGACCTTAGATTTTCTACTCTGGCATGAATATTAAGAGCTTCACCTATGGATGGTAATAAATACTTTATTTAGGTTGCATAAATAGAGAAGTGAGGGTGAATAACAGCAACTTGTGCTAAGAATTCTTGGAGAATGAGGCAGGCTACTTATGGAGGAAAAGACACCTGGAATCCTAGTTCCATAATCTAATTGTTAAGGTGTTAAACTAGGATTGGGGAGACCCAGGTTCAAATCCATCCTTAACCATGGAAGCTCACAGGGTGACATATGATTACTCCCTATCTCACAAGATCATTGTGAGGGAAAAAAAGAAACCTAGGTACATCAGTTTGAATGCCTGAAGGAAAGATGGAATATAAATCTAAATAAATAAAATATCTGATTGTTACTGTCTGTTTATTTGAGTTAACACTAACCTCAAAAGGGCATATGTGTAAGTATTTTCAAAATTTGGACCAGTTCCTACTCCAGACAGCTGGCAATACAACAGTACTGTATTTTATATTCATGCATTTATTAAGTCAAGACATAGCCAATTTTGGCATTTTGTTAAAGATGAATCTCCTGGACTTTTGAGCTGAAAAGAAAACTGTAAAAGTTACTGAGGAAGGTTCCATGGACATTAATTCTGAGAAGTCTTAAGATAAAGTATTATCCCTATAGTATACAAAGCCATAATCTTTTCCACAGTTACAGCTTGCATATTAAAAAAATGTATCTGTCTCTTTTTAATGATTTAACTGCAATATATTTTGATGCTGACATCAGATTAGTGATAAATCTTTTGAACACATAGGTGGTTACAGATTGCTTGAATCATCCTGGAAGAATTATCTGCCTTATCAAAATATCATTTCTGAACTAAAGTAATCTTACAAGCCAAGTGCCACCAGTGGTCTGAGGGACTGTGCTTGGTTTGGTTTTTATTGCTGGCTCCTGTCATGTGTCATTTCTTTTCCTCTGAGGGACACTTTGAGCTATCAAAATGAGTGACCTTGCATTCCAGAACAGCATGTTGACAGGATTCCTTAATTTTTGGCATGGGGTCTGCCTTGCTCCACACAGCATCTCCTCCCTAACTTTCAGACTGTGTGAAATCTGTATTCACAAGTCTTTCCAGATTTGTTATATTTTAGGACAACTCTGTCATCTGCACTCAACAACATGCAAATGCACATTAGGTGCTGTTTTGTGAATGAAAGGACACATACCATACCCAGCCCCGTATTACATGGTAAAAAGACGATTAGGCTGTCACTTTCAATGTTCCCAAGTCAATACTAACATGTAGAAAAAAACAGCAATTACAATGAAACCGCAACTTACCAGATTTTGACACAACAGACTTCATATGCATTGGATCAAATTTCTCCAGTGATTTATGCCATTTGTGTAACCGTATCATTAAACAAATGATGTAAATTGCCACAATGCTCTATTTTTCAAACCCACTGACATGCATGAATAAACAGGCCCTCTCCCAATTAGTCCAGTAAAATGAGATTTCACTTTATTGAAAAATTAAGAGTATCTTTAAAAGATTTAAGACATAGAAAACTAGTGGCACTATGATATACACAGAAAAAACGACTCAAGCATATAAAACCAAAACAGTATTACTGTAAAAAAATAACATCATGTCTTACTTCTTTAGTTTCTTCAAGTTCGGATATGCTGCTAAGTTCCTCTGTGTTGCAATGTTCAAAATCAGACTCTCCCACTGCTATCGGTACGGTCACAGTGAGATTTGGATTGTTTATGAATGACATGTGATCACTGCTGTCCATGCAGCTGGTAGTTGTTATTTTAGGCCTCTGATAATCAAACGTTTTGTTGATTTCCGCTACTGTGTGGTTGGGAATGCATTGATCTTTCTTATCATTTTGTTCATCAGCTGAACTTAATCCAGTGGCGGCCTTGCATCTTTGCAAAAAAACAGCTTGCATACATTCACATATCTTCCACTTTACGTAATCTATTCCCCTCTGAATTCTTGCTATAGCAATCTGTAGATTATTTGCTTCAGTTTCCTGTTCTGGAGCAGCAAGGCTGTCTGAACTGAAAGAACTCAATAATAATGCCAGGAAGAGGTTTAGTACCTGGAGGATGGGGTGGGGAAATAAATTAATTAGATTTTTTTCCTCTCTAGTTAATCATTTTGATTTTTTTATTTTGATTTTCTACCAATTTCATGCATTCACCTTTTAGTTTTTGAGTATAGTAAAAACAGTTCAGTACCTGACTCTAGTTTTTGAGCTTTGGCAGACATAAAATCAAGTTTTCTTGCATGATTGTGATTGCGAGTGTGTGTGTGTGTGTGTGTGAGAGAGAGAGAGAGAGAGAGAGAGAGAGTTTTTCATCAGAATAGGAGGTCAGTCCTATTTTAAAAAATAGATTTGTATAATAGGATGTACGTTGACTGGTTGGTAACACTACATCAGCACTGTTTTTGAAGATAGATTGGAATCGTATTGGAAAATAACAGATTAACATGTAGGAAAAAAAGAAAGGAGAATCTGCATGATGAAAAGGATGGGAGCAACACAAACACATAATTAAAATTCAGGCCTGCTGGGGTCCAAACTAGATATGTTAGGAATATCTTACTCTCTACAGGTGATTTTTTGAACCAGTGCAATTTCTACAACATTTGTATACTTTCATTTCTGAAGAGATCACTTGAAATTAACTACAGTTGAGTGTTATAATCTGTACTGTAAACTGTGGCTGGTTGAAACATAGTAAAATATTCTTGCCTTGTTTATGAAGCCTGGAAAAGTGTAATTCAGTAACCTGATACAGAAAAAAAGACTTCCCACCATATTTTTGCAGTTATGACAGAGGAAGTAGAAGGTGGAATACTTGAACTTGACTTGCATAGGCTTATAAATTTAGCATTATGTCAGATTCAGCACAGTAAACTACTATGCCCATCACAACAATTTAAACATCTGACAAGTATCTAAAGTTGCAGAAGATATCAAGTTATAAACAGCCACCTCAGTGATTTTTAAACTCTATCTTACCTATACAATGGGCATGGAATTTGTGTGGTACCAGTAGACTACATATCATATAGTTTGCAACAAGAATAGCCCTAAGTCCCTAAGATACAGTCCCTAAAATATTTTGCACGACCAACTTGGCTGGTGTTGCAAATGCTCAACGCTTTTTGCAACAGTCTTAGAAAACTGGTAAAAGTGCAATTAAACTGCACTAACATATTTTAATTGAGTGACTATCTGAAATAGCCTAGAAGTGAGGACTTGGGATAGGTAGAGAATTGCAGATGCATAATGATACACACATACAGATATATACTCTAGAATAGCCCTTCCTGAAGAAGTCAATGTCTTCAATCAGAAATGTCTATGCCTGGTGACCACAAGCTTTGGTACCCACTGTTGTACTAAAAAATGACATGTACAAGATATCTTTGGCACTATTTATTTCCTGTTTCACCTACTTCTCTGCTGGGCATGGATTCCTGTGTCTATGCCACTGCCCACTGGCCATCATCACAGATCAAGAGGATGAGCCACAAAAAGCTGGGCATGAAACAATTTTCTACCGCTGGGGTCTTTTACTAATCTGGAGCATATGCAGACAATCTGCTGTGTAACAGGTCTCAACTGGTTACAGTGAATGTCTCTCAACATTTAGATCAGGCCAGGAAATTTGATATTTTGGAAGATTTGAAGCTGATACTGGTTAACATGCAAAAGACTAGTTACATCAATGGAAACAAGCCAATACAGGGATTCTTGAAATCCCCCATAACTTTCTGAATTTATAAAAGATATTTGAACAGAGCATTCTTAGTAGCTCCCATGGATGCTAAACTTTGGTGGAATTGTTAATAAGGAGAATGCCTCTTTAAAGTATACGCTTTTACAATGTCCTATACTTACTAAGTTTTGGGAGAAAGTAGTGGACTATGTAAATATGATTGTGCGACAAAAGCTAAGATTTTCAGAGGATAGTATTCTTTTGAACTATATACCTGGTACATGGAATTTGACATCTGGACAATGTAAATAGATTCTCCATGCCCTTACCAGGGCCAAAAGACTGATATTGCAGCACTGGAAAGATAAATATATGGCCTCATTTATTTAATGGATTGAAGACCTGATTGCCCTTGCCACTGATGAGTGGATTACCTATAGACGTAGACTTTGTATGGACAAGTAAAATGAAATATGGAACTCATTTATAAAAAATACAGTAGGTTAAAAAATGATAGTTATATAAATCTATTAGAAATATATATGTACTTGAATAATATATGTATTAGATAAGCATATATAGAATTGTAATTATTTATTGTTATAATGACATATTAACCGTTTTTTTCCCTCTTTGTTGTATTTCAATTTTTTGTTCATGTACTTTTTATGTGTTTTTTTCCTCTTTTTGTAATTAAAAATTTAAAAAAATTAAAAAGAACCTTTGGTGGAATTGTGCGATAGCCGTTTTCTCAACAAAACTGATTGACTGCCCTCATTGACAGTAAGAGCTGTATAGCATCAGACAACACAGTAGAAACAATCCCAAAACAGCTGTGTAAGACAGTATCTACAAACACTTACCACCAGGTTTCCAATCACCATAACCATCATGAAGACTGTCAGGCAAAGGGCTTGACCTGCAACTTCCATACAGTCCCACATGGTTTCTATCCATTCTCCACAAAGCACTCGGAACACGATCAAGAATGAGTGGAAAAAGTCATTCATGTGCCAGCGTGGAAGTGTACAGTCTTCTGAAATTTTGCACTTACAGTTCTCATAGTTTTTACCAAACAGCTGCATACCAACCACAGCAAATATGAAGACAATGATAGCTAGCACCAAGGTCAGGTTTCCTAAAGCTCCAACTGAGTTCCCAATGATCTTTATTAGCATGTTTAGAGTTGGCCAAGACTTTGCCAGTTTGAACACTCGAAGCTGAAAACATTAATGAAGAATTCATATGTAAGAGAAATTAATATAATTTATATAAATGAGGAATAGGTACAGGCTGGCTAAAATGCGAGAGCCACTATTTGGTGGAATTGTGCGATTCCACCGCACAATATTAGCTGTAAACTTGTAGCCTGTGGACTATTTTGACTTCTCCAGTCCCAATTTACAACACCACAAATCCTCCCAGATTGCAAAACTCTCAGTTTTCAGCAGTGTGTTTTTCTGTTGTTTATTTGCCTCTCAAGGTACTTTAAAATTCTCCAATCCACTTTTAAAAAATAAAAAATACTGAGCTCTGCTTCTGATGTCACCATATAAGTGAACCTCACTCTACTAGAACTTGCAGCTGAAATAAACTGAACATAAAGAAAAAAATCCTGCCTGGAAAAAACTGTACGCCCTGCTCTAGCTTAAATATGTTATATACTGAATAATGGTTTTAGTTGCAGCTCCAAAAGTACAGACTTCTTTAAAGTAATAACTGCCAAGCAAAATACAAGTTCATGTTTCAGTTTTCCTAGACACCTTGTCTTTGTGATTGTTGACATAATAGGAAGGGTATCTTAGAACTCTTTTCTTTTTCTTATAGCTGAAGAACCAAATTGATGTTATCAAATTTAAGCGGTCCAGTCTGGCCACAATCTGGCTGGATAAACAAGGTTGTGCTGCTGATTGCTACCACAAACTGAAAACAAATATATTAATGCTTAAAAAACCACAAACTATCCTTTCTTTATCAGCAGCAGTTTATTGGAGAGAAGGCAAAGGTCTCATCCACAGACCTTCCTCACCTGGGTATCAAAATGGATTGTTAACCTTTTGCTGAGGGTGTATCTTCACCACGGAACCTCCATTTCAGTGTCAGCCTGCTGCTGAGTCAGGCTGAAGCCAGATCAAGGTGATCTGTCAGAAAAGGGGTATTTTCCCCTGGGAAATACACCATCTCCCATGCAGGGGGAGTCTGAGGCAGGTCAATAACCTGCAGGGCTCCGTGTGGGCCACTGCAGGACTGCCCCTCCCATTTGGCCATGGAGCTTGATGCCTCTGTGACCATTGCTGCTTTGGCTACTGGAGACAACAGAACCTTCCCAGCAACTGAAACTTTCTTTTGTTAGTTTCTAGTACCTATTTCAGAAAGTTGCTATTCCTTCCACTATTGTCTGCTGCTGCTTGCAGTAGAGCAGGAAACCTGAGACAGGCAGGGTTCCTTCATCCTCCCTACTCCTCTTGTCTTTGCAGCATCTGCCCATACCTCTGTACTTCTCCCCAGCAGCAGAAACCACTGCCCTGTCATGTGAAGGTAGCAGTTTTCCTGGCTTTGTTTTGGAGGCACCTTATGAATGCTGTGAAGTGGTGTGTTTTCTTCCCTTCTTAAGGATGAGAGGAAAGCACATACAGTAGCTGGGGTTGTAAGGAAAAGCCATAAACCTGGCAGCTTTATATTTGCACAGGCTTGCTCCTAATCATTCTGAACACTTGTGAAATCCAGGCTGCTATCAATTCCAAAGTGGCCTAGAAACTTATGATTTCTCAGAGATACCGAGGTCTTTCCAGGAAATACAAAGCTTCTCATCCCAGTTCCTTCTCACATGCCCTTTGCTATACCAAACACCTGCCTACTAGAGAGGCCACGTATGCTATCCATTGTTGGATCCTATGTAGGTAGATGCTAATAATGTTGGGAAATAGAAGAGTGATCTCTCTCTATCCCCACATTATGCACTTCACAAAAGACTTCTATTCTAGCAAGAATGGCTAAAATACTTCCTCCTCAGTAAACCAGTGAACTGTAGAATCCCTCCAGGGCTTTCAACTTATTCCAGACAAGGAGGATCATTTTTCGGATGTGCTTCATGAAAACCACACATCCAAAACAGGGAGCTTTTGTTCTCCCCTAATCAGAACCCAGCAGACTATATAATGGCAATGTGTGGAATCAGCCAGTTTCTATCTAAGAAAATAATTACATACATGGATATTCCATCCAAGTGTTTGCAAAGTATCTAAGGCAGATCCTGGTAGATTTGAAAGTTCTAGTTTACTTGTTCTAATTTATTTATAAAACTTCTAATCCACTCTATTATGGAAATGATCTCCAAATGGGATAAATGGATTCTGTCAACTCCAGAGATATTATGTCTTGCTGTGTAAGTGAACTAATCTGTAGATCTGTGCATAACCTGCTGGATCCAGCAAGTCCAAAATCCACTCAGAAGGACTTTCATCCTAAGGAAAATTGCAGCTATACTGAACCCACCCCCTTACAGGCCAGATATTTACCAGTCTGAAAGACCTTAAGACTGACAATCCATCTACATGTTGAAGACCCAGCTCCATTAAACTCAGGGTGACAATGATGCTATCAAAAATATTCCAGCCTTCTTGGAAATAATAATAAGGATCCATGGCAATTACTTTGAGGACCATCTCTGCAGTGAAGATTCCAGTGAAAATCTAAATGTAGAATGCAATCAGTTAGTTATTTTATTCCTTTATTCCCATGAAAACCTCATGTTTTATTTTGTTCTTTGTGAGCATAAAACTCAAGAAACAATACTTGAAATACAATGACGAAAACAAATGTTTAAATCTCATTTCCAGTTGTTCCAACTAAGGAAAGGCATGGCTTGACATAATTTTAAAAGAGCTGAAGTATAGGAGAACTTACACCACAAGACAGGACCCAAGGAAGGGTTTGTTGGAGGAACAATTATTTAACAACTCAACTTTCAATTATACAGAAACAGCCTTCCAGATGTATGGGACTTCAACTCCCAGAATTCTCAGTCAGAACATCATTCCCCTCTGTAGTCCCAGTCTTGGAACTATAATTCTGAAAAGAAGGAACAGGGCCATGGGAAACACACATTTTCCATAAAATAGACTCCAGATTTAATCTCAGCAAGAAGGATTTTAATATTAGGTTGGAAAAAACAAAAAGCAATAGTATTTGCTATATTGGTGATTCCTCCTGAAAAGGGACTGATGTTCTGACTCAAGTTAGTATTTTCAAAATGTTTAGAGAGATATCCATTTTTTGAAAGCTGCCTTAGAGTTTAGCAGATTTATGAATTAGAAAATTGTTTAATGTAAATTTGACTTACCAGGTTTCCATTTTTAAGAACACTACTGAAGGCGTCTTCAATTGGATAATGTTCCATGGCCATGAATAGTGTATTTAAAATAATGCAGATAGTAATCCCAAGATCGACAAATGGATCCATCACAATTAAATGAACAATTCTCTTTATTTCTAACCAATTATCAGAACAATTCCAAATCAGGTAATTGTGGGCAAACTTATACCAGCATGGTGGACATTTCTGTCTTGATTCTTCAAGTTCTGAAGGAAGCCACATTGAAAACATTTTAAAAAACTCCTCATATTGATTTCATGATTTACATTCATTAGGAAACAACAACTTCACTAAAATCCGATTTACTGATGCATTTTCATGAATTTTCTCAATTTAATTTTCTGTCACAGCACGTTTCAAATATTGCCATTTAAAAGGGGAAGACCATTATATGACACAGATATTGTGGCAGAGAATAAAGTGCTGGATTATTTATTTATTTATTTATTTATTTATTTATTTATTTATTTATTTATATTTATGTAAGCATCTCACAGAAAAGTGACTCTAGGCAGCACACAATAGAAAACTTCTCTTCAACTCTTCAAAGATCAGAATATTAAAACAAGTACAATTCAAAAGACATCAAGCAATACTATTAATAACAAGATAGTAGAGAAAAATTTCTGTTAACAACAATGTAGCCATCTGATTAGATCACTATTGCCTTGAGATCCCCAAGCCTGCTGACACAGCCATGTTTTGAGGGATTTCCAGAAGGATATCAAGGATGGGGCCAATCTCACCTGGGGGGGGGGATGATGTTCCACAGGGCAGGCCCCATGGCAGATTAAGCCCATCTCGTGGGTTCTGCCAGATGAAAATCTTTCACAGTCAGGCAGATGTAATCAGGTGGAGGTGGTCCCTCAAATAACCCGGTCCCATGCCATGAAGAACTTTAAAGGTCAAAGCCAGCACCTTGAACCGGACCCTTAAGCAAACTGTCTGCCAATGCACCTTACAGAACAAAGGTGTAACGTGTGCCATTCTAGGGACACACATACAGTAACTGCCTGTGCCACCACATTTGCACCAGATGAAGCTTCTGGATCTCTTCAGGGGCATGTAGAGTGCATTACAGTAGTCTACCTGGGAGGCGACCAAGGCACGAGTGACTGGGAGCAGAGCCTCCCGGTCCACAAATAGGCACAACTGGAACACAGCACAAAGCTGTGCAAAAAAAAAAAAAAAAAAAAA